GGGCCGCCTATTGGCTGTGCCCATAAGCCCCGCCCACCCGCGTGCTGCGGCCGCGCCGGGCCCGACGCTCCCGGGGCCGCCCCCGGTTCGGGTCCCGCGCCCGGTCCCAGCGCCACAAACACCCGGTCCTCACGCCCCCCACACAACAAGCGAACGAAACGGGTCCAGCAAAAACCATGTGCTCTTTATTTCAAGAAGATTGTATAAAAAAATCCCGCCCGACTCTCGACATTAAAAATCCTTAACCTAAGAAATAAACAAATTAAAAGAAATAGCACCAGGGAGTTATAAACCTTTTTTTTGGTAAAAAAAAACGTATTACAAAGGCATTTGTGAAAACTACCTGACTTTTTTAAAAACACATCATAAAAGGCAGCTCTTACAGGGAAAAATATATCAAGGAAGACTTATCTACTACAATTCATATCACGTGAGCTTCATGCCAAGACAATTCCCATTCAGCTTTTCTCTTTGTTCACTTCCCCAAGTCCTTTGTTTTTCCCCTCTTCCAATTGTGTTGATCAGCCAGGGAAGGATGTGAGATCTGGAGTCCGAAAGGAGAGGCCCTGCTGGAGGTTCCAGGTGAGCCTGGTTTGGAATAAAATTCATCCGGGGATCCCGAAGGAGAGGACAATCACCCCCACATGGGGCTCTGGGGCTGGTGACAAGGTGGGGAGATGGTGCCACTTGTCCCCATGCAAGCAGTGATGGGGAGGTCACTTGGATTTCTCCAAAGTTAAAGTTTCCTTAACTAAGGTGTGGCTGGAACACGCAGCATCCGAGGAGAAAACCCCCCCTGGGAAGACTCAAGAGTTACCTCCAGGCAGGACCAAGGGGGAAAAGAGCCTGTAAACTTTGCTAGGGCTTCTCCTCCTGCACATTCCCAAGTGAAGCCTTGGGTTGCAGATGGAGAGAGGATGGTCCCCGGAGCCTGGGGACAGGGTGGAGCTGCAGGTGAGCAGCTCCCTGCCAAGAGGGGACAATGGGAGGCTGCCTCCTCCGGGGAGGCTGCAAAGGGGGACACCAGGGGGTCCCCACGTTTCAAAGAGGTAGAAGGAGCTGGGAGAGAAGTCCTTATTTCCCACTGATGCTGTACAACACCTCGTGAGACAGCTGGGCTTTGGGAAGAGGGTTGGCCCATGGTTTGCACCCAATTCATTTTGAGAAGGCACCCAAGGACCCTGCCAGACGCAGGTTGTAGTGAAGAGCAGAGGTAGGGGAGGAGAGAGGGGGGGACATCACAGGTTTCAGTGCATTGAAATGTGCATTGGAGTCAAGAGTCCCGGGGGGCACCAGCCAGGAGGGCAGCCCCAGGGCCACGGAAAGTGAGGGGGACAGAGGGGCTCAGCTGCACAGGACATGGAGCAGGGGGGCTGTGCTCTGAGGACAACACCCACCCCCCCAGGCACCACCTTCAAGGGGGGAACAGACACTCAGAGAACCTTCTCTGTGGACACTGCAGCCCAAACCCTCCGTGCTCTGGTGACTGTGGAAGCTTTCGAACCACTCAGCAGGATTTTTAAATGCAAGGAAAAAGGTTTAGATGCTTTAAAAAGGAAGTAGTGAATATTTGTAAACTACAGCCACAATATTTTTTTTTAGATATCTAGCTAGAAAAGTATTTCTATCACCTCACAGTTCAGTTTCAGCTACATTCAGGTCTAGGAATCTCCACATTCTTACGTAATGCCTTAAAGCAGCAATAGACATTAAAAACAAAGCTTATCAAAAAAGTCTTAAAAACAAAAATTAAAAAATATTTGGTTTCTGTCTCCTGCACGTTCAGTGTGTGTAACCTGAGCAGGGTCCCTCGCAACCTGCTGCTGCAGTTTGAGGATTTTTGGCAGCTGATTTAAGAGAGGTTTTGTTTGTCTAGGAAAAGCAACACTTTCAAGTCTGTCTGCAGCACCCCGGCAGCTGCCTCCACACTCACTGCTCAGCAAGTTGTGACTTCCCAGCTCTAGGCTAAAACGGAGTATTTAATGCTCTGGAGACTTCCCATCCCAGCAGCCGTGCAGAGCTTCCTGTGCCAGGGAAATAAAGCTTTTTTGTCCATCGTTTTCTATGTATTGCTGCTCTTGGTCCCTTTAAAAGAAAAGTTACCCTGCCAGGTTCTTTGGTTAAAGACGTTCCCGTGGGGCCAGGAGGTGCTTTCCCACAGGAGGTGGCTGGGAGGGAAGGGGCTGTGGCAGAACCTGTGCCCGTCCCTCTCCCGCCACCGCAGCAGAGCTCTGCATCTTTACCAGAGAGATGAGGGACCTCAGCTTGTTATTCACAGGCAAAATAATCCTTGAGTGGGGAAAAGAGGTGCCGGATGACAGGGGCACTCCACGATCTCTCCAGCAGCTTCTGGCGAGTCCCACAGCTGATGCTGGAGACGTCCGTGTAGTGGAGGGGGAAGCCGAAGATCCTGCGGGGCAGAGACACAGGGGGTGAGGCCCGGGGGCTCCCTGGAGCCCACTGGCCACATCCAGCGGGGGACCCCCCCCCTGCCAAGAGGGGACAATGGGAGGCTGCCTCCTCCGGGGAGGCTGCAAAGGGGGACACCAGGGGGTCCCCACGTTTCAAAGAGGTAGAAGGAGCTGGGAGAGAAGTCCTTATTTCCCACTGATGCTGTACAACACCTCGTGAGACAGCTGGGCTTTGGGAAGAGGGTTGGCCCATGGTTTGCACCCAATTCATTTTGAGAAGGCACCCAAGGACCCTGCCAGACGCAGGTTGTAGTGAAGAGCAGAGGTAGGGGAGGAGAGAGGGGGGGACATCACAGGTTTCAGTGCATTGAAATGTGCATTGGAGTCAAGAGTCCCGGGGGGCACCAGCCAGGAGGGCAGCCCCAGGGCCACGGAAAGTGAGGGGGACAGAGGGGCTCAGCTGCACAGGACATGGAGCAGGGGGGCTGTGCTCTGAGGACAACACCCACCCCCCCAGGCACCACCTTCAAGGGGGGAACAGACACTCAGAGAACCTTCTCTGTGGACACTGCAGCCCAAACCCTCCGTGCTCTGGTGACTGTGGAAGCTTTCGAACCACTCAGCAGGATTTTTAAATGCAAGGAAAAAGGTTTAGATGCTTTAAAAAGGAAGTAGTGAATATTTGTAAACTACAGCCACAATATTTTTTTTTAGATATCTAGCTAGAAAAGTATTTCTATCACCTCACAGTTCAGTTTCAGCTACATTCAGGTCTAGGAATCTCCACATTCTTACGTAATGCCTTAAAGCAGCAATAGACATTAAAAACAAAGCTTATCAAAAAAGTCTTAAAAACAAAAATTAAAAAATATTTGGTTTCTGTCTCCTGCACGTTCAGTGTGTGTAACCTGAGCAGGGTCCCTCGCAACCTGCTGCTGCAGTTTGAGGATTTTTGGCAGCTGATTTAAGAGAGGTTTTGTTTGTCTAGGAAAAGCAACACTTTCAAGTCTGTCTGCAGCACCCCGGCAGCTGCCTCCACACTCACTGCTCAGCAAGTTGTGACTTCCCAGCTCTAGGCTAAAACGGAGTATTTAATGCTCTGGAGACTTCCCATCCCAGCAGCCGTGCAGAGCTTCCTGTGCCAGGGAAATAAAGCTTTTTTGTCCATCGTTTTCTATGTATTGCTGCTCTTGGTCCCTTTAAAAGAAAAGTTACCCTGCCAGGTTCTTTGGTTAAAGACGTTCCCGTGGGGCCAGGAGGTGCTTTCCCACAGGAGGTGGCTGGGAGGGAAGGGGCCGTGGCAGAACCTGTGCCCGTCCCTCTCCCGCCACCGCAGCAGAGCTCTGCATCTTTACCAGAGAGATGAGGGACCTCAGCTTGTTATTCACAGGCAAAATAATCCTTGAGTGGGGAAAAGAGGTGCCGGATGACAGGGGCACTCCACGATCTCTCCAGCAGCTTCTGGCGAGTCCCGCAGCTGATGCTGGAGACGTCCGTGTAGTGGAGGGGGAAGCCGAAGATCCTGCGGGGCAGAGACACAGGGGGTGAGGCCCGGGGGCTCCCTGGAGCCCACTGGCCACATCCAGAGTGCAGCATCCCTGCCCCATCTCTGCGTCCAGCCCGAGGTCCCTCGAGCCCCAGCCCATGTTAGCTCAGAGCCTCCTCACTGAGAACAGTCCCTGCCCAGAGCGGCGACGTGTCCACATGTAGCACTTCCCACCCAGAGCTCTCAGAGCATTCAAAGACAACACAGTTGTTCCCACTGTGCCCAGAGCCATCAGCAGACCCACCCCAGGGCAGGGGCAGAGCAGAGCCCACCCACAGCCCTGCCCACGGGAACAGGCAGCCTGGGAAACATCCCACAGCAGTTGGTGCCACAGACAACATAACCCACATATGGATGGGGACCAAGCACCCAGACCCAGCTGTCCCCCCATCCCAGAGGAACATCCCCAGTGGCTCTATTTTAAAATTGGGTTTAGGAAAGCCAAAGGAAAACAGAAGAGCCACCAATCATCTCTCAGCCGGGAATCAGCACCAACACAGAGTTATGGGGAGCAAAAAGCAAAGCTCTAAAGACAATGACACAGCTGGGAGGAGAAATATTCCGAGTCCTCATGCAGCCTCTCCAGCTTGGCTGAGGTCAACGGGTCACCCTCTTGAGGAACCCCTGAGTCATCAGAGGTTGTCTCCCACAAACTCACAGCTCCTGCCTGCTCTGGCACATGCCAGACCAGAGCAGCTCCTCCCGTGGCAGGCACAGGAGCATCTTCCACAGTGCTCCCCGGAGCTTTTCCCGGCAGAACTTTGGAAGGAGCCACGTGCCAGTGCCACCCTGCCTGCCCCTGCCCTGCCAGGCACCTCTGCAGGCACCACCCTGGGCTACTGCACTGGGAGAGCTCCGAGTCATCGTGCTGGGGCTTCCATCTCTTCACAACCAGGTTTAAGCTCCAAGTGCCATTTCAAATGGTGTAAGTGCTATTTCACTTTCAAATACCTACATGCCTCTAGCTCAGCTTTAATTAGCTCTTACTCCAACAAATACTGGCAATTTAAATATAAACATGCAAAAATATTTAAAGCCATTCTGTGCTCGTTGGCTGAGGATTTGGCTGTGCAAAAAAACTCCAGTTTTTGTTGCTGTCTTTGGTGTGCAGGACTGCTAGGAAATGGATTTTACTCTACTCCAAGTCCTTCTGCTGTGTTTTGCCATGAATTCAGGGTGCAGCAAGGTGTGATCCAAGCTAGACACACCACACAGCTCCTGCACGAGCCCCGTCACCCTCCCCTCCACAGGCTGCAGGTCCAGGGATGGGGACACTGCACTTTTCCCACAGTCTCATCATTGCTCATTAACCAGCAACATTATCACGTGCACATGACCCCAGGGAAAGGGGCTGCAGCTCTTCAGCTCCTGGGAGCTGGGCTGAGGGCCAAGGAGGAAAGAAGAACCACAGAAGCACCACAAAACAGAACGAGAGACTCAGAGCAGCAGAGCTGGGTTACCTGTTCATCCCGGGAAGGTTGCCCCAGAAGTAGCGCGCGCGGTGGGCAGCTGACATCTTGATGGCATTGACCATGACCGGGTTACACTGCAGGCCAGGAGACAGGGAGAGAAAGGTGAGAGGAAGTGTAGGCTCAGTCCTCTCCTGCAGAAGAAGCTCTTTACCAATGCACTGCTGAGACTTCAGGAAATCCCCTGCAGATGCTGCCCCAACACACCCTCGTTCCACACCAGGGCACGGCCTGGTCAGCCACATGGGCTCCCACCCCACAGCCCTGGCCAGCAGCTAAAGCAAACCCAGCACACCACACTGCCAGCCTGGCTGGGCCAGGATCAGGACCACCAGCCTCCAGTGGGGCTTTCACACACCAGGGTCCCTGCAGACCCACAGCCCATCTTGGCTACCACAGTGTTAAAGATCCTTTCCAGTCCCTGCCCTCCCTCTTCCTAGAAATAATACACGTTGCTCTGAGCAGCTCCTGCGAGGCTGGGAAAAACATCTCCCTGGAGAGGGAGGGCTCAGGTTCACGTGCTGGAGGCCAGAGGGGACCCAGAGCCAAGACAAAAAAGTTGATTCTTGGCACGCGCATCAGGCAGGGGCTCTTCCAGCTTGGGGGCCATACAAAACCACAGCCAGACCCTCACACACCTGGAACAGCCCAGCAGGTGTCTCCTGCTCCCGTGTTCTTCCCGGAGCAGGCAGCAATCCCTACCTCCAGAAACCGAGAGATGTCCCTCTTGTCATTGACCCTCATGGCCACCACGTTCTCAAACATCCAGAAGAAGGGGCGTTCCTCTCCTGCCTTGGGACGGGCGAAGTTGAGCAGGTGGTAAAACTCAAAGAAGAGCCTCCCGGATCCTTCTGCAAGGGAGAGCAGAGTGGGGTGGGAGAGGCTGTGGCACAGGGACACGGGTCCGCGCTGGTGTGGGACACCCTGTGCTTTGCAGGTGCCACCCACGGTTTGCATCCCAGAGGGGAGTCATCACCAACCCAGACTGGGGTTGAACTGCTTCTGTGGGCTTCCAGGTGGTTCCACACGGCAGGAACACCCCAGGGTACCCAGCCCTGCCTTACCATACAGCGCCTTCCGGGCCGGATTGACAACGGAGAGGTCGTCACAGGGGCTTCCACCTATCACCAGGTCAAAGGGACCCCACTCCTCGATCTAGAGCCAACAGACGAGGTTAGGAGATGTCATGTGGGGCGAGACCCATGTGGCCACAGCACCACATTCCCCAGCCCCCCCCCCCGCAGAAACATCCTCACGTTTCTCTTGGTTATGTTCCTGACATCGTGCACGTAGGTGATGTTCCCATCGTGCCGCATGGTGCCCACAGCAATGGGGTCTTCAGAGATCTCTGAGGCAATGTACTTCTCCACTTGGATACCCAAGTCCTTCAGCACCAGGTACCCTGCCAAGGGACAGAGGTCTGAGGTTCCACTGCTCTCTTTAGTCTCCCAGTCTCCTTCGTCAGCACTGATGCTCGATGTGGCCGCTTTTGCTTGTCCTAGGTGGGTGCAGTCACACAGAACTTATGGATGAGCAAACTAGACTTCAGACCTGCTCCCGCAGGCAGGTTTGCTCCCAGAAAACAGAACTCTAGAGCTGAGTCAAACCAGTTGCCCTCAGGCACATCTTTGCCAGAGGCCAGGTTACCAGCCTCCCCACAGCTCTTGCTGCTCAGGGAAACCAGCCACCCAAGACAGCACTCGGTGCAGCAGGAGCCTCTGTGAGCATCACTCCCACATCCTCCCTCCACCCCTCTCTCCTCCACAGACCTGGCCAGCCCCTGTCCTCATCCCCTTCTGATGGGGATCCCCCTGCCCTTCCTCCCTTTCTCCCCACCAAGCTTTCAGAGACAGGTTTGAGGCCACAAAACCCTCAGCCCCAAGCCCTGGTGCCTCCTCCAGCGCCTCACCTGTTGTGATGCTGTCAAACAAGGAGAGCACTCGAATGGGTCTCCTGTTTGCTGGTGGGACTGTTGGGTAGATTTTGGGTTCAGCCTGCAATGGAAGGACAGCAGTGAAGCTCTGGGCAGAGCTGTGATGCTCTAGGAGGCCAAACCTTGGCCTTATAGGCATCACCTCTGCCTTCAGGGGAGCATCTGGGGGGCCACGAGCCCAGCACCTTCTGAGAGGGGGGATGAGTGAGACCAAGGCAGAGGGCTGACGGATTTTGAGCCAGCCCTGCCCTAGGCAGCCCTCTCCCCGGAATCCCAGTGTGCTGGGCTCTCCTGCCTGCAGCCCTTACATATTCTTGCCCCTTGTCACTGGTGAAGAAGTCCTGCAGGCGGGTGTTCCAGTCCTGCCGGCGCTGCAGCACCCCATAGCTCCTCTGGGGCTGGCACATGTAGCAGTTCCAGGGCTCCTGCTCCTTTGCTTTGGCCGACGTCCCTCGCCCCACCAGCACCTCCAGACACTCCACACAGAAGCACCTGTCAAAACCACAACACCTCATTCTGTCATCTCCAGAAACCCCTTTGGGTCACCCCAGCCTCTCCTGGATTCTCCCCTGCCAGGCACTCAAGCCCCCACCCCATTTTGCTGGATGTTTTTCCATGTAGCATCCTGGTTTTTAGGGCTGCTACCACAAGCTGGTGGCCCAGGTGTGGGTAAAGCTCTGGCCAACCTTCCCAGGTGGAGCTCAGCGGGGATAGGTGGGCTGAGGTGCTAGGGATCAGCATGGGACCCTGCCCAGGCTCAGGCATGAACTGACTTCCTTGCAGCTCCCCAGGAGCTCTGCCAGGAGCTCAGCCAGAGGAGCAGAGACGGGGACATGCAGGGCCCACCTGCAGCAGCTGGCGTTGCTGCAGAGCAGCAGCTCCTTCCCCTCGCAGCAGACAGTGCAGTAGGACTGGTAGCCATCCTCGTCGTACATGTAGAAGAGCTCCAGGAATCTATCCTGGCATAAGCACAGGAAGGAAGAGGGAAGGACAGAGGATCAGGATCCATGCTCAGGTGGTGAACAGTGAACACAGCTTCTCTCCATCCCTGGTGCATGGTGAGAGCTCAGAGATGCACGTCCTTGGTGCCTCGAGCAGGGCGAACACACAGAGGGACAAACCCATGGTGGATATGGCAGGGGTGGGACCTGGCAGTCACCCCTACTGCCCTGGCAGCAGGTTGGACTCTGCAGCCCCTCCTGCAGCATCAGGGTCCTGCTCGGCAGCTCTTACCCTGCAGGTCTGGCACAGGCCCCCCTCGAAGAGCGGGTGGAAGGTGGCCGGGTTCCTCCTCCCGCAGGACAGGCAGCTGTCTGTGACAGAGAGCTGTGCTCAGCGGGCAGTGCCTGCTCCCGCACCCTCCAGGGCAGCCCTGCTCCCAGGGCACCCACAACCTCTGCCCAGTGCTCCTGCAGGCACCTGAAACCAGCCCCACACCCTTCCCAAGAGACAGGGCAACCCGTTACCTTCAAGACTCCCACTGTTGTTCGTAACTTCAGAAACCATTTGCTCTTTATACATGAAAAATATAAGAGATATTAATCATTCCTTATGCAACAAACTTTAAATGCACTCTACTTCTAAATGCTTTATTTCTTGCATTAAAACTGCTGCAGCTCTGCAGAGTGTTACACAGAGAAGGCACAGGCCACAAGCATTAGAAATTTTGGGGCTAGACCCCTGATCTTTCACTGCTGGAGAAACCAGAGCAGCAACACACAGACCATTTCCATGTGGAGCAATTAAAGGAGCCCAGCTTGTGGAGCCATGTCTTGCAGCTGGGTTTGCTGCTGACTTGTAAGGCACAAGTGAGCAACAAGAGACCACAAAAGCCTTTGCCTTTGGAAAGCAAGTCCGTGGCCCCCAGGAAGAGCCCAGCCCTTTCCCAGAGAGATTTCCTGCTGCTTTTCAGGATGCATGGCCAGGCCATGCTGCTCCCCAGCTGCAGGTTACCTCGGGTCTGGTCGTCTTCCACCCGCTGCTCCTTGCCATTGTTGCAGAGGTTGGACTTCAGCCTCTTGGTGCGGGGACACTGCTCGAGGGACAGCACCTCCTCCGTCCCGTTCCTCAGGGCCCCGTTCTCTGCCAGGCAAAGGTGGCTCCCTGAGGATAACCCTGCAGCCCCGGGAGCTTCCCACTGGGGGACACATCTCCTGCCCAGCCCTCCAGGTCCCACCCCAGCCAAAAGCAGAGCCCCTCCAGACCACCCTGGCTGCCCATGCGGGGCAGGAGGCTCAGCCAGCTCACCCGTTTCCAGGAGCAACAGCTTGGAGGGAGCTTTGCTCTGGCTTTTTGCAGTGCTGCTGTGCAGGACATCCCAGCCACGAGCCCTGTTGCCACCTCAGAACCAGGCCAGCAAGGCATGGCAGCTGGTGAGTGGGCTCCTCCCTGCCCAGCTCCTGCCACCCCCTCACCTGAGGCTTTGGGTGGTCGCAGCCCCTTGAGGCCCAGGGGTTTGAAGCCAGTGAGTGCCCAGTCGATCATGGGCTTCAGCTGCTCCTCCAGGGACTCCCTGGGGGTGGCTGCAAACGTCTTTCCCGACCGGCTCCGGGCAACCTGCGTGAGAGGGGGAAGGTGTGGGCCGGGGTGACGGGGGGAGCAGCCCGGCTGGTGCCTGCACAGCACAGATCCCCACCACTGACACATGCACAGGGTTCGGTGTCCCCAGCACAGGGGCAGCTGCCAGATTCCAGTGCTGGGTGTGCCCCTGGCCCTGCCTCCCCCCTGCAGTGTCCATCTGTCCTCCAGCCCCAGCCGGGAGAGCAGGGACAGCCCAGCCCCAGCTCTCTCCTGGATGCTGCTCCCAGGCAAGCAGCAGGGAGAAAAAGGCAGCAGAGGGGCCTGTAGGTCTGCAGCACCATAGCCCAGTGATGTGTCCCCTGGATGAGGATCAGAGCCATGAGGTGGCTCAGCGACGGCCCTGATGGCAAAGGGCATCCAGCACCAGCCCAGGACACCTCCAGCCAGTGACACTGCCTTGCCACCACGATGCTGCTGCAAAAGGCAGAGACCTGGCAGGAACCTGGCCCAGGGGTTCTGGAGCAGCGAGACCCTGGGGCAGCAGCAGTTACACCTGAATCTGCTGGCAGAAGCAGAGTTTGGCCCCATGGCTGCACTTGGAAACAGTCCCAGTAGGGAGAGGATGGTTTTCCTATAGACATCTGTCCACATTGCCCCAGCAGATGGGGGAAATAATTAATTCTGGGCACTGGCAGGAGCTCCCTGGGCTGACAGCTCTCAAGGTGACTCGCAGGCATCATCCAGAACCAGCCCCAGATGCAAGGCAGAGCATCATGCAGGGGCAGAGCCAGGAGGCCCCAGCCACCCCCCTCACCTCCCAGGCTCTGTGGGCACCTGGGCTGAGCAGACGTCCTGCTTCCCAGCCAGGGCACCTCTTCCTGCCCCAGCAAAGTGCATCCTGGGCCAGATCAGCTGCATCAGCCACCCTGCATGCAGTCCATCTCTCCCTACATCCCACCACCCCTGCAGAGCCCAGGGGCCTCACCCACCCAGCCCCAGCTCTGCTCCCCTGTTACCTCCAGGGCATGGTATATGGCTCGTCGGTAGGAAACCAGCTTATTAAACGTGGAACAGTTGAAATGCTGCCTAAAGGCCATCAGTCCCACCAGCTTGTCTGCAGAAACCTGGGAGAGAGCAACTAAAATTCACCAGCAGGCACAGGGATGCCTTGCTTTGGCTGTGTCCCCCACATGGCACCGTGTCCCCCCAGGGGACCGTGTCCCCGCGCCGCAGCCCCGACCAAGCAGCACAGCAGTTCCCAGCACAGCTGAGGGTGCTGGGCCTGGTCTGGACCATGGAGCTGTGAAGGGAAGCCCAGCAGCGGGTTTGCAGAGGGCAGGGCCAGCAGAGGGAGGAAGGCAGAGGCAGCAGCATCACAGCAGCAGCCAGGACGGGTGGTTTGCACCCTCTGCCGGCACAGCCAGCACAGCACGTCCCTCCCTCCTGCAGCCCGGGTGACAGGGAGCAACAGGGACACAGCCCCAGAGACCTGAGCTTGGACAAGACCCTGCGAAGGGGCCAGGCAGATGTCCCCATTGCTGGATCCTGTCACCAACCTGCAGTGGCCAGTCATTTACGGACACTAGAGCCTCAAGGGCATGCAAGAGCCTGACCACGCTCAACACCAGGGTCCCAGCAATGGGACAGATGGGAAAAACGTGCAGGGAGGGGATTTCAGCCAGGCACAGGCAGGGGCAGGCAGGCTTACCTCGGAGAACTTCCCATCTCCAAACCACTGCACCCACCGCATGCCCGAGACAGCCTGGCGCTTGGCCGTGGCTCTGTAGGAGACGACGATGGCAGGCCACCAGCAGAAACCTTTGATCTTTCCCCAGACAAGCTCCCCAATTCCAAATTCCTTCCCATCCTGAAAGCAAAAGGACAACACACATCAGCCAAAAGCACCAACTCCCCGTTTTATCCCAACAGCCGCGCAGGGAGCCCTGGAGAACAGCCACAGGCTGAGGGAAGTCCCATGCATGGACCTCTGTGCCCTGGTCTACAAAAGCTGCCCTGTTCCTCCCAGGAGGGCAGCACCCCTGGCAGGGCTGGCTCCCAGCTCAGCAGTGCGTGCTCCGTCCTGCACAGCCCTCCTGGCTCCTGCACCCCCTGCCTGCCCACTCCTGCCTGCCCTCCTGGGGTCTCCAACGCTGGGAAGCCCCTTTCTGCCCTCACACAGCAGCTCTGCCTGTCACAGGACTTGCAGCAGCCCCGGTGGTGGGAATGGGAGGCAGCAGCTCCAAGGAGAGCAGATGGACTCTTCTGATCCCCTCACCTGTGGCAGCCACGGTTGCCCGGCTCATCACACGCTGCTGCTGAGCCCCCCGGCCGGGCCCGGCTG